CACAGTTTGATACAATGCCTCATGTATAAATTCAATTCACCATCAAACGCTGTGAGTGAGTCTTAAAAATATTAAATATACTTCGAATATTATTTACATAATTTCAGCTTGGTGTGGGAGGAGAATTCAAAGTAAAGAAGGTCTTGGATCTTTACTATTTTGGTGAAGTCAAGAGAGCAGGTAAAGTAAAGAAGGTTTTGGATCTTTACTATTTTGGTGAAGTCAAGAGAGCAGGTAAAGTAAAGAAGGTCTTGGATCTTTACTATTTTGGTGAAAGCCAAGAGAGCAGGTAAAGTAAAGAAGGTCTTGGATCTTTACTATTTTGGTGAAGCCAAGAGAGCAGGTAAAGTAAAGAAGGTCTTGGATCTTTACTATTTTGGTGAAAGCCAAGAGAGCAGGTAAAGTAAAGAAGGTCTTGGATCTTTACTATTTTGGTGAAAGCCAATAGAGCAGGTAAAGTAAAGAAGGTCTTCGATCTTTACTATTTTGGTGAAAGCCAAGAGAGCAGGTAAAGTAAAGAAGGTCTTGGATCTTTACTATTGTAGAGAAGGTCTTGGATCTTTACTATTTTGGTGAAAGCCAAGAGAGCAGGTAAAGTAAAGAAGGTCTTGGATCTTTACTATTTTGGTGAAAGCCAAGAGAGCAGGTTTTGGTGGTGACAAAGTAAGAAACATAATCTGGGAATCAAACCCATAATGATGTGGTTCTGGTAACCTAAGCAACAGAACTATACACAGCACGCTGCTCTCTGGAAGTATTTCTCAAGGGTTGTTATTGTAATGAGGGTGCTCCTGCCGCAACACAGCTGGATTTGTCACTCACTCACGGCACCTCACACACGTCAGACAACACTTAACATGGAATAATACGTGATTGATGATTCCACAGTGAAACTTAAAGCTGTGTTTAACTCTGTGCCGATTCCAGTCCCAGCCCACCTGTATGTGCTCCTGTAATGGCCCTTGGGTTTAAACAGCCCCTGCTTTAATAAATAAGCTTTTCACCATAATTAGAACATGTGTTTCTCAAACAAACAAAAGACACAAGTTAAATGGCTTTTCCTTCAACAGAAATGAATTGACCAAATATTTGGTTCTGACTGGTTATTAGGTAATGGCTTCATTCTCACGAGCTCCATTTCAGAAAGGAGAGGTCATGCCAATCCGGTAGTCGTTACTAGGTCTGTGGTTGTATCCATGCAGAAACTGCTTCAAGAAAGTCTGGTTTGAATCATGGTAACCATAAAATGTTGTGTGAAATGTTTATTGTGAACGTTTGAAAAATATCCAAGTCTTACCGGCAGTTTACCATTAGTGCCATGTTGAACATAAGAGTTCCATTCAATCCTGAGCAAGGAAAACTTCACATTATCTTAATTTTACAATCAATATTAACAGGCACATCTTGTCAGCGAGACAAGCAAGCAAGGGAGGTAACTGTACCTTGATGACATATATTAGGACATCCGTTTCATTGTTGATGTATTCATATTTTTCCAGTTTATAATTAAGATTGTGAAATGGTGTTGTTGTTAAACAATACAGCTAACCCTAATACAAAATGCTGTGACATAAATTATAATTTCATGGCTTTCCACATAACTTGTAAACATGTCAATCTCGGCAACTGACACAAACTAGCGTACAACTAGTCATACTCCAAACAGCATAAAGATCCTCCCTCCCTTGAGTCAGTCCTCAAACATCTTCTCTTGCATCACTGTGCACTTATATCTCAAACGTTTTTGCTTGATCATAAAATTATGTGTTCTTTGTAAGTATTCCCAAATTTGGTTTTATTTAGCCTTTGGCCAGAACAATTTTATTTCTTGTTTTACAGATTTTTGTCCTCAGAAAACCTAAAGGCAGGAGGGGAAAACAATATATATAAAATCACCAGTCAAGGTAATATTCCTTTTAAATGCAAAAAGTATTTTACTTTTGGCAATTTATGAAGTGTATATTAGCAAAAAACAATCTAAAAATATTTTTCGCGTAAGTTTACATTTTTGGCCAATAACAACATTAGGATTTTATTTTTTGAGCGGGGAAAATTAACGTTTATTTTTTTCTTCTTATTCTTGAAAAAATATGACCCGCGGATCCATAAAACAAGAAATAAAACTGGTCTGGCCTTATATAAAATTGCAATTCCTAATAATATTAAAGCTCTCTTGTTACTCAGGACACAAGTTTATCTTAATAATAAAGACCAAGATATCTAGATTGGTCATAATAATGAAAAAATTCATGAAAATAATAGCATCTTTAGTCTATTGTCAAATGTCTCTATATCTCCATGACGACCAGAGTGAATGGGGTAAGCAGGACACACCACAACCAGATAAACATGGTCAGGTCTGGGGCACTCAAACCATTACCCAGCATGGATCTGTTATATCCTTCATTGTGTCCACCCAATACCCAGTCAGGCATTAACTGCTTCTGAATTCAAACTGCCTGACACAAGATCAACAAACACCCATAACTTAATTTCATGACTGTACTGAAATATATTTTTTCTGTTTGTATTTCCAGGCTAATTACATGAAGATGTTGCTAAGGTCGGTGTTGCCAATGTTGTTAGGTGTGTACCAGTTACCATTAAGACTATATTAGTGTGACACAACACTGATTACTGCCGTGCTGATGATAGTATTACATTAATTAAATGTTTATAACAGTTTGGGAACATGAACTCATTACTAGGGAAGTGAAGCTTGTCTTGGCTCACAGGGCTCAGACACGTGCTGTATTGGTATGTGTGTGTCGTTCCGAAACCTGCTATGATTCATCTGAACCAACATTCCTCTTTAAGTGAGGTTGCCCCCAAAAACAAAATATCGTTTTGTGGAAACAGAGAAGGAACTTCAAAACAGAAATACCAGAATTTGTCAAAACCATCTTAGTGTGGAAGTCGCGGTGGCTGAGCAGGTTATGCGGCTGATTTTGTGTGCTGGCGATTAGGTGCCTTACTCTGAGGATGTGGGTTCGAATCCTGAATGGGACTCAACCCAAAAAGTACAAGAAAGTGTACTCCCAAATGTAACATGTTATATTTGTATGTAACCTATATATATGCACTGTAACAAGAGTGAGTGAGTTTAGTTTTACGCCGCTTTTAGCAATATTCCAGCAATATCACTGCAGGGGACACCAGAAATGGGCTTCACACATTGTACCCATGTGGGAATCAAACCCCAGTCTTCAGCATGACGAGCGGACACTATAGCCACTAGGCTACCCCAACGCCTGTAATAGGAATAATGTATCTAGGAATAATGTATCTTAAATAACTTGCTACAGGGATGTTCATTAAAAGTATTAACAAATCTAAAAGAAATTCTGATCACCTCAGAGAGTTTGGAAGTTAAAGCAAGGAACTGTTTAAATCCTAAGTATGCTTGATACTGGAGAGGTCATCTCTCACATTCCATCTAGAGATTCAGAGAGTAAACTGCAGGTCGCTAAGAAGTCTGGATACAGGTGAGAGATCACATTTAACGTGTAACCCACCTAAACATATGCAGTTGATCAAGTTAATGCCAGCTCACAGATAACCATCTTTATGTGTAGAAGGCATAAACATGTGCACGTAACTTGCGATATTTTCACACCAAAATTTGTCTTGGTATCTCTGGCACTTGGCGTTATTACCTTGCTGGGAATGTGAAGGAACCGATATCATGGAATGTTTGTAAAACCGAAGTGTAAGGTGAAGAAACTGTTTAGTTTAGAAAGAAGACACTGTTACCTGTTACAAGCAGCTGACATAGTGTTATACATATTGTGTAAAATGATGAAAACTGTACAACAATGATATCTGCAGGGAAGCAGGGGTGGAAATAACTTTAAAATTGCTAGTGTACTCCGGTACAGTGGCACATGTAAAATCACTTGCCCTGATAATTTTTCCACTATACTGGCCTTTTCTTGTTGATTTTTAAAATAAACAACATAATTAATATTGGAAAGTCAACTGGACACCCTACAGTGTGATATACATATTTGCTTGCACGACAGAAAAAACCACTAGACTCGGGCGTCGGGCAATGGGTTATTCCACCCCTGGGAAGGCTACCATCAGCCATCACAGACATGCTGTGCTGGTTACAGCCAAACAGACTCAATCACATATATCTTCATGGTTATAAACAGTGAGCTGAAATGAAATTTGGAACAGAAATCTGAATTGGATAAATGCTGAAACACCTTGTGCTAACACAAGAGAACATGTAACAATGTGTATATATGTAAGTGTAAGTGTGTGAGAGTGTACAAGTGTGTGCATGCAAGAGTGAGCTTGTGTGAGTGTCTGTGTGAGTGAGTGAGCGAGTGTGTCTGTGTGAGTGAGTGTCTGTATGAGTGAGTGAGTGTCTGTATGAGTGAGTGAGTGTCTGTATGAGTGAGTGAGAGTGTCTGTATGAGTGAGTATGTGTGTGAGTATTGTACAACTGTTTGGAATAGGAAGTTAGGAAGGGTTTGTCAGTGTGTGTGAGTGAGTGTCTGTATAAGTGAGTGAGTGTCTGTATAAGTGAGTGAGATCATCTGTATGAGTGAGTGAGTGTCTGTATGAGTGAGTGAGAGTGTCTGTATGAGTGAGTATGTGTGTGAGTATTGTACAACTGTTTGGAATAGGAAGTTAGGAAGGGTTTGTCAGTGTGTGTGAGTGAGTGCAGCTGTGTGCATACTCCAAATAAACCCACTTTGATATTTTTGTGTAACAGGGCTGAGAAGTTAGGATTGTGCTATAGTCAGCTTGTGGATCATGGCCGTCGATGTAGTTTCCTGCAGAGGTGTTGTTTTAGTGTTACAGAAGCCCCTTGAGGAGGATCTGTCTGAGGGTACATCTGGACGTCATCTCACAGACCCAGGACCATCTCCTGTGGAGCTGACTTGCATCATAAATAGTCATGGTGTATGTCACAAATGCCACCACCATGACACACTGGGACTAATGTATTTAACAGGACAGCATGTGGAGAGAGGTAAGGTACTCACCATACTGGCATCGAGGTCCCTGAAATCCTTGTGGGCAGGCGCAGGACTGGCTGTAGCCTCCGTTACACTGACCTCCATTGAAACACACAGCATTGTTACAGCTCCCTGGAACACAACACGAAAATAATATAGCTCCGATGGAAACAAGAACAGGTGTTACAGCTCTGTAGAACACTATATTACATTTCACTGGAACACAACACAAAAACAATATAGTTCCTATGGAAACAATAACAGGAGTTACAGCTCTGTAGAACACTATATTACATTTCATTGGAACACAACACAAAAACAATATAGTTCCCATGGAAACAATAACAGGAGAACACTATGTTACAGCACTCTAAAGCATAATGTTACAGCTCCATGAAAGAATTTACAGCTCCATGGAACATGCTACAGCTTCCCAAAACTACAAGTGACAGCTCTAGGGAACACAATGTTACAGTTTCCAAGAACTACAAGTGACAGCTCTACGGAACACTATGTTACAGTTTCCAAGAACTACAAGTGACAGCTCTATGGAACACAATGTTACAGTTTCCAAGAACTACAAGTGACAGCTCTACGGAACACAATGTTACAGTTTCCAAGAACTACAAGTGACAGCTCTATGGAACACAATGTTACAGCTTCCAAGAACTACAAGTGACAGCTTCATAAAACTATGCTGCAGTCCTAAGACACTATGCTGCAGTTCTCATGAACATGTTACAGCTCCATACAACACAATGTTACAGCTACACTGAACAATGTTACATTTCTATAGTAAACACAGTTACAGGTATGTAGGACACATTGTAACACCTCTACAGTATGTATTTGTTCCTAGACCATCAAATGAAACACAAGCGTAGGATTATAGACAGCTTAAAAGTTTTACAATCAGGTACCATGATATCTTCTTTTAAGTCAAGGTATACTTTATGAGTTGGGTGTTTCATTATCTTCCAAATACTACCACAGTGACCAAAACCTTCATTCTTTCAGAAAAGAGTCTCACAAGGGAGTGAGAGACGCTTAAAAGGCAGCATCTCAAAAGTACAGTATAATGTAAAAACCTTCATTCTTTCAGTTTCCAGACACACCCTTCACTGAAATGTTCACATCTTCACAGGGAATCTTTTGTGAAGCAAATCCTAGTTTGTAATGATTGGTGAAGTTTGTGATGCACCTGTCAGCATTGTCAGAATGACTGCTGTTTCACATACAATGCGCTACAGTTACAGTTATATACACGGAGAACACTACCTGCAATATGATGAGTCGTCTGTCACACAGACCCTGTAACACACGTACACAAAACAGTCCATGCAAGTCCAGAATATGTGGTAAGTTTGAATTACCACAGTTTGAAAATAAAGTCTCTGAATTTTTTTTTGTATATTTAATGAACATAATTTAGGAATTTTTTCCTTTTAAATTGACACATGAGGATCCGCTTTAGAATTGATCTTCAGCAACCCATGCTAGTCGTAAGAGGCGACAAACGGGATCAGGCAGTCAGGCTTGCTGACTTGGTTGACACATGTCATCGGTTCCCAATTGCGTAGATTGATGCTCATGCTGTTGATCACTGGATTGTCTGGTCCAGACTCACTTATTTACAGATTGCAGCTATATAGCTGGAATATTGCTGAGTGTGGCATTAAACAACAATCCAACCAACCTTTTAGATTTGTTCTTTTATGAGTCTAGTTGTGTATTTAGTCTGTATGAAGATAGGTGATTTAGGTTCAGATTTTCAACCCTCCAACTGTAAGATGTGATCACGGACAACACTGATCCCCATATTATGACTACATGCCGTAGTTCCACATTTAAAGCCCGCCAAATGTAAGATGTCAGCATGGAGTAGCATCAGAGAAGTCATCACTGAGATACACGTCTGCATCAGCAACGTCGGCTTAATCACGTCAATCTGTCATATATCTGTTATTACGTCCGCTACACAAGCAGAATAATACCACATACTCAGGACAAATGCCCATCACATCAACCCTACTCCTGATATTATTTGGGCCATCAGCATCGTCTGTGCCACCACTCACTCCATGCTTTATGACACAACCTCATCTTCATGGTAATTTAAACAATCAATGTTGCACAAAATCGCCTGATCAGGAACACGGAAATATTGAGCTAATGCCTTTTGAAGTTGACAGCAAAATTACATATCTCCTGCCAAGTAATTTCTTATGTTTTGTTCATAGCAATATCAAATCATTTTATCCAATAATATCTGTTGAAAGGGAAGCGCAGGTGATCTTCAGACAAGGACCCTAGACTCAGGGCTATGTATGGATGCTTCACGAGGAGATCTGTCGTGAACAATCTATAGATGTCAGATGATACCCATGTTGGTGCTCCGTGTTACAGAGAAGTGTTGACTCGCTACATCAATCGACTGAGGGTTTATTTCATTAGCCTTTGCTCTAGGGACAATATACAAGTTAATCATGATAATACAATCATGATTAGATTTATTGACGCAGTGTAGCTAGAGAATGTGTTCCTGCTTATCTTTGGGTTATCATAATTGCCAGGATTTAACAGATTTAACACACCACTGTTATGCTGCTGCTTATCTTTATGTGTGTTATCATATCTGTACCTGTGTTATCATATCTATACCTGGGTTATCATGTCTGTTCCTGGGTTATCATGTCTGCTGGGGTATCGTGTCTGTTGATAGGTTATCATATCTATACCTTGGTTATCATGTCTGCTGGGGTATCGTGTCTGTTGATAGGTTATCATATCTATACCTGGGATATCATGTCTGTTCCTGGGTTATCATGTCTGCTTGGGTATTGTGTCTATTGATAGGTTATCATATGTATACCTGGGTTATCATGTCTGTTCCTGGGTTATCATGTCTGCTGGGGTATCGTGTCTGTTGATAGGTTATCATATGTATACCTGGGTTATCATGTTTGTTCCTGGGTTATGTCTGCTCACCAGGGGTATCATGGCTGTTGATAGGTTATCACATCTATACCTGTGTTATTATGCCTGTACCCTGATCAACACATCTGTACCCAGGTTATCTGTCTGCTGCTGGGGTATTGTGTCTGCTGCTGGGGTATCATGTCTGTTGATGGGTTATCATATCTATACCTGTGTTTTTATGGCTGTAATGTGGTTATCACACCAGTACCCAGGTTATCATAGCTGTATCCAGGTTATCATAGCTGTACCAAGATCAACACATCTGTACCCAGGTTATCATGTCTGTACCTTTTGGGATATCATGTGTGTATGACGGATTCCTGGGGTCATCATATCTGTACCTGAATCATCATGAAGTGCAAGAAGTTCACATCATGGGTGGCCACTGGTGTCTCCGGAATACATTGTTATCATGTGATGTATCGGTGATGTGTGGTATTAAGTTGCAACACTTCCCTTTGGTGGTATTTGCATATTACTCAAGTCTCTTGTGATGTTGTCACGGCAACCTTCATGTCAGAAACAGTGGTAATGAACCATAAACACCTCGGGAACATCCTCGGTAGGAGGTCGATGGTGACACCACTGCTCACTACATAGGTAACTTGAGACCTAGAGTGTAACTGTTGTATCTCACAGGTTGTAACTGTTGTATCACACAGGTTGTAACTGTTGTATCTCACAGGTTGTAACTGTTGTATCACACAGGTTGTAACTGTTGTATCTCACAGGTTGTAACTGTTGTATCTCACAGGTTGTAACTGTTGTATCTCACAGGTTGTAACTGTTGTATCACACAGGTTGTAACTGTTGTATCACACAGGTTGTAACTGTTGTATCTCACAGGTTGTAACTGTTGTATCTCACAGGTTGTAACTGTTGTATCACACAGGTTGTAACTGTTGTATCTCACAGGTTGTAACTGTTGTATCTTACAGGTTGTAACTGTTGTATCTCACAGGTTGTAACTGTTGTATCTCACAGGTTGTAACTGTTGTATCTTACAGGTTGTAACTGTTGTATCACACAGGTTGTAACTGTTGTATCTCACAGGTTGTAACTGTTGTATCTCACAGGTTGTAACTGTTGTATCACACAGGTAGTAACTGTTGTATCTCACAGGTTGTAACTGTTGTATCTCACAGGTTGTAACTGTTGTATCTCACAGGTTGTAACTGTTGTATCACACAGGTTGTAACTGTTGTATCTCACAGGTTGTAACTGTTGTATCTCACAGGTTGTAACTGTTGTATCTCACAGGTTGTAACTGTTGTATCTCACAGGTTGTAACTGTTGTATCACACAGGTTGTAACTGTTGTATCTCACAGGTTGTAACTGTTGTATCACACAGGTTGTAACTGTTGTATCTCACAGGTTGTAACTGTTGTATCTCACAGGTTGTAACTGTTGTATCTCACAGGTTGTAACTGTTGTATCTCACAGGTTGTAACTGTTGTATCACACAGGTTGTAACTGTTGTATCTCACAGGTTGTAACTGTTGTATCTCACAGGTTGTAACTGTTGTATCACACAGGTTGTAACTGTTGTATCTCACAGGTTGTAACTGTTGTATCTCACAGGTTGTAACTGTTGTATCACACAGGCATATCTGTGGTATCATGCATGACCTAAGTGTTGTATCAACATTGGAGTAACTGTTGTATCATCTGAGTACATCAGTTGCATCATGTAGCATGTAATCATGGTATCACATAGGAAGTAATATTTGTATCACCAGGGATATCACAGTATGTATTCCACAGAATGTAACAGTTTGTGGTGTGTAACTGTTTAATCAACTGGGATGTACCTGTTGTATTGTGTGGGATGTTCCTGTTGTATCCTGAGAGAAGTCATACCGGATGTAATAGGTGTATTACATGGATATAACTGTTGTATCATACTGGATGAAACAGTGCTACCAGTGGTGATGTAACTATTGTATCACATGGGTGTAACTGTTGTATCATGTATGATGTAACTATTGTATCACATGGGTGTAACTGTTGTATCATGTATGATGTAACTATTGCATCACATGGGTGTAACTGTTGTATCATGTATGATGTAACTATTGTATCACATGGGTGTAACTGTTGTATCATGTTTGATGTAACTATTGTATCACATGGATGTAACTGTTGTATCATG